TCTCCCAGGGGAAGGGACCCCGATTGGGGGGGGGCAGCACCATCCGCCATCCATGGATCCTGGAGTCCTCAGGAAGCAGATGGCGCCCACTTGGGTAAGCCCAGCTCCCGTGTCCCGCACCCCCGTCTGCCACCCGCCTGGGCGGTCTCCAGAGCCTTCGCGTCGCTGGAAGGGTTCCCGCAGTGTAGCTCCAGGCTGGACCCCAGCCCTTCCTCCCACCCCGCAGCCAGGCTCCGAGGGCCCGTCTCTGCTGCTGAGGCCCCCCGCTCCAGGGAGCCGGCCAGCCGGCCCAGGGCCTCCAGGACCCGCCGGTCACCCGGTCACGGGCAGCCGGTCCTGTCCACGCCCTGCCACCGCTCCGCGTCCGAGCCGCAGCTTCCACGTCCCGCCTCACGGGCTGGCTCTGCGGCTCCGGAGTGTGCGTCCCTCCCAGACACCCGGCCTCGGAGGCTTCTGCGCCCGCGGAAACTTTTAGGGATTTATTTCAAGGTCGGGCTTCTCTGTGTGGCCCGGCCGCCCTGGAACTCGCTCTGCAGACCGGGCTGCAGCTCAGGATCTGGGGCTACAGCGTGCACCAGCGCCCCTCTCTGGGAGGGTCAAACTTGGACCTCTCCCAGCGGGGGTTCGGGCCCTGCCGGAGCCGGGTCCTCGCCGGCGCGCACGACTTCAGCGCTATGGGACGGTCAGAACCAGAGTGCACGCTGTGAGGGTCGCGCGGGGTGAGCTGGGAGAAGGCGCGGGGCGGGGCCCGGCTCCACGCCCAACATCCAGGTCTCTCTCACAGCACACACAGCGCACGCGCCAGCCTCCAGGCATTGGAGACTCCTGTCTCGAAGGGGAGCCCGGGCCGCCCTCCCTCCCTCGGCCCCACGCCCGCCGTGCGCGCTCCGCCCCGTCCGCGCCCTCCCCGCGGGCCCCGCCCGCCGCGCGCTGGCTCGCTCGCGCGCTCGCAGCACCACAGGAGGCGGGTTCGGGCGGTCGTTCTGGCTTTTTGAAGGGCTGGGCGCGGGGGCGAGGTGGAAGCGGGCGGGCGGGGGCCGCGCTCTCATTTGTCGTCCGGCAGGTCGCGCCTCTTCCAGCTGTCCAGGATGTACTTGAGGAGGAGGCCGAGCTTGCGGCGGGTGGACAGCGGCGCCTCCTCGCTGGCGCCGTCGGCCGAGGCCCGCTTCTCCACGCCGCTGTCGCCCGCCGCCTCCAGGCTCACCTCGGCGGGGCTCTCGTCCTCCTCCAGGGCCTTGATGCGCACGCGCTGCGCGTCCTCCGCCATCTCGTTGAGGCAGCCCTGCAGCATGGTGTAGACGGTGCCGAAGCTGATGCCGCCGGCCACCAGCGTGCCGAACACGGGGATGCCGCGCTCGAAGGCGCGCGCCACGCGCATGGCGCCGTCCGACGACCGCGAGTAGAGGCGCAGCACCGTCTCGGGCGACACCTCGCTGGCCAGCGGCGAGCGGATGACCGAGCGCAGGTCGCCCGCCTGCTTGCCCACCTGCTCGGCCAGCTTGGCCAGCGAGTCGTCGTCCAGGCCGAAGCTGCGGTGGTAGCCGCGCAGCGAGCGGATGAGCAGCGCGTCGTCGTAGGCGGCCGCCAGCCCCGGCACGGGCAGCGCCTGGATCACGCCCGACACCAGCGCCGTCTTGAGCACCTGCTCCTGCAGCCTGTCCTTCTTCTTCTGCAGCGCCTCCAGCGAGATGTCGGGCAGCGACAGCAGCCCCGCGTGGCGCCGGTGCGCCGGCAGGTCGTGCTCCCAGGTGGACACGAGCAGCGGGAAGTCGTAGCGCGCGGGCGACAGGTTGGACACCAGGAAGATGCGCGGCTCGTGCACGCCCGCGGCGCGCAGGCGCTCGGCGCAGTGCTCGCGGATCTCCTGCAGCACGGCCGCCTCGCTGAAGCCCGACGGCCGCTGGCTGCGCGTGGCCGCCAGGTCCTCGTCCACCTTGGTGCGCACGAAGTAGAACTTCTTGCCCTGGCGCAGGATCTCGGCCGCCAGGCGGCTCTCCACGGCGCCGCAGCGGCGCGGCGCCACCAGCAGGAAGAAGTCGTAGCGGCCGAAGTCCACCTCCTTCAGGTACTTGTCGGCCGAGCAGCCCGGCGAGCCGGCGCCCGGCAGGTCCCACAGCGTCACGTCGGGGAACTGCGGGTGCGGGTAGGGCGACGGCTGCATGGTGGTCTCCACCACGCCCGTGAGCGCCGCGCCGGGGTCCTCGGCCCCCAGGCCGCGCAGCGCGTTGATGAGCGACGACTTGCCGGCGCCCGACTCGCCCGTGACGCCCACCTCCAGCCGGGTGCTCTCCGTGGTGGCCAGCAGCTCCCGCAGGCGCGACGCGGCCTGCGGGATGTCGCCCGACTCGAAGGCCGAGCGCAGCGCCTCCAGCTCCTCCTTGGCCATGAGGATGGTGGTCTCCTCCTCGGGCACCGCGGGCAACTTGGATGTCGCCATGGCGCGGGGCTGGGCGGGAAGGCGGGGACAGTCACAGGGGGCGTGACTCCTCGGCGTCTGCGGGGGTGGGGGGGGGAGAGAAGAACGGGCGCGCTGGGCCGGGGGTGGGGGGGTGGGTGGGGTACGGGCCGAGGCCTCCCCCTCCTCTCCCTCCTCCTCTCTCCCTCCTCTCCCTCCTCCTCCCCTCCCTCCTCTCCCTCCTCCTCCCCTCCCTCCTCTCCCTCCTCTCCTCCTCTCCTCTCCTCTCCCTCCTCCTCTCTCCCTCCTCCTCCTCCTCCTCTCCCTCCTCTCTCCCTCCTCCTCCCTTCCCTCCCTCCTCTCCCTCCCCTCCCCTCCCTCCTCTCCCTCCTCTCCTCTCCCTCCTCCTCTCCCTCCCTCCTCTCCCTCCTCTCCTCTCCCTCCTCCTCTCCCTCCTCCTCCTCTCCCTCTTCCTCCCCCTCCTCCTCTCCTCCCTCTTCCCCTCCTCCTCCCCCTCTCCTCCTATCCCTTCTCCCTTCCCTTCTTTCCTCCCTCCTCCTCTTCCCCTCTTCCTCTCTCCCTCCTCCTCTTTCTCCTCCTCTCCCTCCTCCTCCTCCTCTCCCTCCTCTCTCCCTCCTCCTCTCCTTCCTCCTCCCCTCCCTCCTCTCCCTCCTTCTCTCCCTCCTCCTCTCCCTCCTCCTCCTCTCCTTCCTCCTCTCCCTCCTCCTCTCCTTCCTCCTCTCCCTCCTCCTCTCCCTCCTCCTCCTCTCCCTCCTCCCCTCTCCCTCCTCTTCCTCTCCCTTTCCCTCTTCTCCCTCCTCCTCCGAGAGGCCTCCTCTGTCTCCCCCTCCTCTCCCTCCTCCTCTCCTCCTCCCCCTCTCCTTTCCCTCCTCCTCTCTCTCCTCCTCTTCTCCTCCCCCTCTCCTCCTCTCCCTCCTCCCCCCAGGCTTCCCCTTCTCTCCCTCCTCCTCCTCTCCCTCCTCCTCTCCTTCCCCTCCTCTCCTCCCCCTCTTCTCCTCTTCTCCCTCCTCCTCCCTAGAATGATGCCCAGCTGCACTTTTGGTCCCCAATGCTGGGTTCCTAGGGCTGACAGAACTAACAGGAGCTCTGGCCTAGGCTGGCCTTGAACTCGTACACCTCGCACACTGAGTCCAGGGCTAGCCATGCCTTCACAGCCACACTCTGTCTCACAAACCGCAACAAGAAGGCAGGCGTTCCTAGCACTCGGGAACTGGAGGCAGGAGGGTCGCTGGAAGGGCGCCCTTAGCTACACAGGGAGAGGTCAGGGCTAGCCTGGGCTACATGCAAGCCTGCATCAAAACATGAACCCAGACACAGTTAGGGTGAGAGTGTCAAAGGCCCGGGTTCGTGTGCCACCTGGGCCACTGACTTGCCTTGTGACCATCCTACTGAAGATGCTGTGTGTGAGCAGTGTGAGTGTGTGCTTGTGTGTGTGTGTGTGTGTGTGTATGTGTGTGCGCGCGCACATGCATGTGTGGGAACCGAGGAAGGGAACAGCGTTGTGAGGCTGTGTGCCCTGAGCCCAGAGTGAAGGCTGATGGTCCCCTAAGACAGAAACCTGATGGTTCCTTACGATATCTGGGTTGCCCAGGGCCTCACACTGCGGCCCAGGCTGTCTCAGAGCTCACTGTGTGGCCCAGGCTGTCTCAGA